TCGCTTTTTTGTATAAAGCCCAGCGCGTTCTTGCGCCTAGCATCACTCGTGATTCGTCACTCGTGATTTGTCACTCGAGATTCATCTAACTTAGAGAGCTGAGACTTGCGAGAACTACTTCGAGGAGAATTATTGTATAGCGCAATACTATATCATTTAAGTTCAGCCAGCGACAAGGGACAAAGGCGGTCCTGCACGTGGCCAGAATTATTCTCATTTGTACGGATTCTTCTTCAACGTTTCAACCAGGGTTTTTATGCCACAAGGCTTTTCCCTGACCAGCCAAATGAAGCGTACTTTTTAGTACTGACTGGGCTCAAATATATTTGYTATTGGTGTTTTATTTTCCTATCCTCCTTCCTATTAATAAACAATCTCGATATCACCCGTGAGGGCATTTTCGATTCACTGTACAATCCACTGGAGTTACCGATTAAGGCATCGGTTGCAACAACACTATTTTTGACAATAAATACAAAAACCGCGTGCCATAAGCATCAAGATTCGATTTAAAAACGCCGATATATATAGATATACAGAACGCCCGACACTCGATCGTCAAAACGAAAAATTCTCGCTTCCGAAGAAAAAAATAGAAAGAGAGAAATATCGATTTCTATTCTCACTCGCACTTGCATTCACGCGACCGAGAGAGACACCAAGATAATGCACACTAGCTCGCTCGCGTATAAAAACCAATGAAGAGGCGTGGCTTGCCCTCTCTCTTACAATTACCTTTCACCTTCATTTTCTCGCTTATTTTTGCAAATACGAAGATACACCTTACAACACTTTTTATGTATTTTTTAATTCTCTACAACTTTTGTTTGAAACTTTTTTCGATTAAATGCCTAGATTCTAAGATACGGCCATTTTTACCCTTTTTCTCGTAAACGCAACATCGTATTGCAAAAAAATTAGCACCATTCGAATTACCATTGTATCAAACTGTCGAGTAGGTCCACCTGAAAGTTTTTCCTTCACCTCTTATTGACTGGGCTACTAAGATCAAACTTGCAGGATGTTGACGATAAAGGCGCTTCTTAGGCCCTTTTTGACTGGCCTACATATCAAAAACTCTCAATCTTAGGAAAAAAAGGGGAAGTTAGCCTGTTTTTGACTGGCCTACAGTTCATTTGTTTAGGTTGCTAGGATACACTGTCTGAACTTGTCGCCTTTGTTTAGCTCCATCGAAGTCTCTCGAACGTTCTTGATCCGGAAATGCAGAAGGATCGAGAGGTTTCTGGAAAGAATGCCGGAATAAAACAAGGAACGTTGAAAGGGGGTGGAGTAAGACATACATAGATGATGGAAAGGACCGAGTGGGGCATTCCGTGGTAGTCCATTGATATTCGGCGAGTGTTAGGCGTGAAAGTAAACGGTATGATAACGGGGGACGGTGAAGGGACACAAAAGACGACGATAAGTGACCAAGAGTCGAGTACGGCGTGTCCTTCACTAATTATGACTGTTGTTTTCGGATTACGGCGTACAGAGTGACACCTAATATTTCGTGGCGATAGATTGAATTTAGATTAAAGATGCTTACCATTCTATCTGATTATATCTTTAAATCGTTTAATAATTATCGTTAAGCGTTATTCTTTAAATAAATAAATTATATTACTTCTACTTTAATAAATAAATAATAAATCTTACACTAATGTTAGTGCAAAATATATGAGCCGTAATAATAAAAATGCAAACATATATGAGCCGTTTATTTTGAAAGTGGCCTAACTCCATTTGTCAATTATTTCCGATTACGCACGGTTACATGTACAACTTTAAATTATCTATCAATAAAGCATTTAAGATTATTTATATTCCGAGTAAATGCGATAATTATGAAGACATAAGTTTTCAGAGTTAGTTGAATAACTGAGCCGTTTATTTTAAAAGTGGACTAAGTCCATTTACACTTAAATTACTGCTACTTCATTAGCATATTATAAACGGAATATAACAAAAGCGCTAATAATAATTTACTGTTTGTCCCCCGATATTATTACAATATTATCGAAAAGTGTCGGAAAGGTAATAACTTTATTGTATATGAAATGAGACAAGAAGATTTTGTATCAATAAAATTAATAGAAGACGCAATTTTTAAAAGGATAGAGAATTCTAACGGAGAACCAATTAAATGGTTAAAAATATGTTGGATGCGTTTTGTCAAAAATGAACCGTATAAAATTTTCTATAAGACATTAATGAATGAGAACGACAATTTTTAAGTCCTGAATTTATTACCACGTCGGGGTAGACCAAGAAAGTTCGAAAATATTGTATTGACACCACTGTATAAAAATATCAAACAAATTACAACCGCAAAATTCAAGGACATAATTGACTTATTACGATATATATCACGATTTCTTTAAATCCCTTTCACATACACAAAATGTAGATGAGTAGAAAATTGTTTTGTAATTTATGTTTGTAAAAAATATTTTGAATCGCATAATTTATGTTTTTAAAGTGTTATAAAGATGTGTAATATAAAATGAGTATTGTTTTTTTTTCAATTTGTGAAGCATCTTAAATTACATTGAATGGACTTCGGTTCCTTCAAATTTTATAACGAATCTGGTTGTTAATTTTGAAAGAGGCCTGATTCCATTCTTGGTAAGAAAATGCATATTATTCACTTAATAATTGCCATTATTTTAATAGGAACTATAAATTTAACATCTTTAGATACATAAGCAGCATAACTCATAGGTATTCTGTACGTATATTTTTAATTGCATTGAAACACAAAACCTTAAATATCTCAATTTAAGTCTAAATGGACTTGGGCCACTTTCAAAATAAACGGCTCATCTACGTTAATATTTTTTTAGAATAAGTAAAGATATTTTTCTGGTAGGTAGAGCTATAAAAATTGTTGTCCTCTGTTGTTATGGTAATATTCTTTCTTTTTTCTTTAAATATTAAAGAAAGCTGACAATAATATAAAAAGAACTGGAGTGTGTACTTATGAACGAACGTAAGAAGTTATACTTCTTTTCTAACAAAACAAAACAAAAAAATAACTTTAAAAAGTTTATCCCGTGTGCCAATATGCATTGTATACAGGGTGTCCCACATAACTCTTTTCACAATTTTTCATGTATTTATGACAACCTCACAAAACAAATATTTTAAACAAAAGTTGATCTGTTTTTGATTGACTATGCATTGCAATAAAAAAAAGTTTGAAAAACATTTCGACCCGTCAGGCGAAGCTCGAAATTAAGTTCAGAATGAACCAAAGTTTTAGAGGAAAAGTAAAAAAAAAATACCAGAATTTGAAAAATTTGAGGTTTTTCAAAAAAAAAAAAAAAAAAAAAAAAA